TATCATGACATTGACCAGTAGATGTGCCCGCATCGACTCATACATTATTGCAAGCACCACTCAGTCAACAATGAGCATGACCCCGGACAACCCAAATCGACCTACACCCCTCTCTCTCTCTCTCTCTCTCTCTAGACTTCCTGCTAAATCTCGAGGTCAAGGTTGAAACGTAGAGCCAACGCCATAGAACTTACCCCCATCACAGTTTCTTTGAAATATCCCCAAACCAAGGGTTCAAACCTTGAGCCAAGCCTATATGACTTGCCCCTACATTTTCTTCCTCTTTTTACAAGTAGAAAGGTTTCTATACCCATCCAACCGTTCATTTTAGATCAAGTGAGCTACTGACTGTTTGACTTAGATTTGACATTTCAAAATATTTTATTTTAAATTTTTTCACAAATTAAATGAATATAAAATTTGATATGTGCCACATCTCAACGAAGCGTATCTAAAACAATATTAAAAAATATTTTTGATAAAATACAATGATCAAAATACCCTTAAAATTTTTAGACGTACTATAGTCATTTTATGTTATTGATAATATTTTGTTTATAATTTTTACACATGCAAATTTCAGAGAGGAGTGGACGTCTTAAATTTGTTGTTGAAACATTTTGTAGAAAAACATTAAAAATAAAAGAGTGTAGAGACCTTACATTATGATTGGGACCATCTCAGCCGTCCCTTCAGAATAGACGGTTGGACAATGAGAAGCATATACGTTTTATATAATAGGGGAATTATAGAAGGGTGCAGTTGGCATACAGATGGATCCGTAGTTGTAGAGGTGAGATGTGCCTTTAAATTTTATTATGGTATATAATTTTGATGTAAAATATTCTTAGGATTATTTGAAAATCTATTTTTATATCTAATTATAAAATTTTAAATTTAAAAAATGGTTAAAATCAAGTAGATCTATAAACATATGAAAATTTTGAAAATGAACGGTGTAGATAATATGCTGTAAAATGCACTATTTCTGAGACTTAAAATCTTTTTATTTTTCACGGTCATACATCTCGATGCGGAGATGATCAATCAAAGGCTTTTTCAACATTAAAACTATCTTTCCGATGAATTTGTGAGGGGCATCCATAGTTCTACATTATAAGGTTGTATTCTTATATAAACTTTTTCCATTATAGAAAGCTTGCCCTTCTAGAAATGTCTGCTCTAGCAGATATATCAACTTCAATGATACCATCTCTTCCACGAATGACACCGTAATTCTTCCATAAAAAACACATAAAAGTAATTGAGGACAATAATCATGAAGCCATGGCTGCAATGAGGTCACCAAAAAGGTACATATAGGAAATATTAGATTCATAAACATTGTTCGACTACTCGGGCGAGTAACCTAAATTCGTCTGAGTAGCTCAGGAGTATCCCAAGTTTGGTAGTCCAGCTAGGGATCATAAAAAAATTTCAAAAAATAAAAATTCAAATGTGTTTTTTATTTTTTGGGAAAGCTTTCTATGTTTTTTCTACAACATAGAAGTTCTATCCTCTCCCTACCATCCAACCATCCATTTTTTAATGAAGAGCAAAGATTGCCCCAATCACAATGTCACGTCTCTATAATGTTTTGTTTTTATTTTTTATTTTTCTATAAACTGTTTTGACACCAAATTTAGGACATCCATTCCCCTATTAAACTTGCACGAACAAAAAATATAAAAAATTATTTTCAATAAAATTAAATAACCAAAATACCCCTGAAAGTTTCAAGGGGTATTTTGATCACTAATTTTTATCAAAAAATTATTGTTAATATTTTTATAGGTGC